AATTTCTTAATTGCAAATTTGATTTTTCTATATCATTTTGTGTAGTTAAAGCATTCTACTATAGCAAACTGCTAACAACACATTTCTAACCGAGGCGTTATTTTCCTAAGCATAAAAGTTAATTGTGTGTGTATGTGTGTGTGTGTGTGTGTGTGTGTTTCGGGGTGGGGGACGTAGGTCGTGCGAGGGAAACTTCCTCTCTGGCAATTGTCCATGTTGACAGGTATTTAATGGTCCGGGAGAATAGAGGAAGTTGAGTTACAACAGTGATTATGCTACAGTATTTGACCTCAAACTTTCTCAACATGACTGTGACGTTGTCCATGAATTTCATCATATTGTGCTAGTGAAGACAGTGATAAATGATAGAGGGCGCTGATATGATCATTTTTCTTATTATATCTTCGGAGTCTCATAATAATTTTTTTAAATACTCGGAACTTTTTGTACTGAATTCACTTATTTCAAAAGTGTCCATATGTCATTAATTTCATTTATATGAAAAAAAAGTTCCAAATAACAGTGGTAATCGTACTTGAGGCCCCTGCAGGCTATGTTTTTTTTTTCTCTGGGAATTCACGTGGAGACGTTGTCCAGGATCGAGAAGCTATCTCTATCTAAGAAGCTAATTCCTTGTAAAATTTTACCTGTATATAATAACACGCTTTATATTAATGATCATGGACCTATTTGATCAATACTTTCATTAAGCTTTATTATTTTCTTATTATTTTCTTTAAAATTCCAGTCCTGGGGGAATCTGTCCAGTGCGGACGGCTCCTACAATTTCTTTGTAGAATAAAAGAACTCTAACATCTCGTGATTGATAGATATCAATCAAAGCTGTCAAATTTGACAGTTTGAGTAAACATACGTCGATCACATCCATACCGCCAAAGAACTTTTATCTCCTGTGATTGATAGGTGTCAATCAAAGCTGTCAAATTTGACAGCTCGATTGACGGTTAGTTAAACAAACGTCAATCACAATCATCCTGCAAAGGAGCTTTTACTTCCTGTGATTGAGAGGTGCCAATCAAAGCTATTAGAAGTGGATGGCTTGATTGGCAGTTATATAAACAAACGTCAATCATCATACTGGTGATCAAGTACAGCTGTCGAACAATGAATACGCCGTAGAGAGCGCAATGTCCCTGGGATTATTTAAATGAGTAAATTAAAATTAGGCGTCATTAATGAGTAAATACAGTGTATAGGCATGTGCAAAAAACAGATATCTTTTACAGTTTAGGGTGCCCGTGTTTAAATTAAAAAGTCTCGGTCTTGCATTTCTATACAAGCAGGCATTTTTTTAGTCATGTTAAAAATAAGTCCAAGCTACGCTTGCGGTTGGAGATTGTCAGCAGGAGGACTGTTCAGTTTAGATGTTTAGAAGATTGAGAGCAAAGGAAAGAGTTTGAAATCCCAAAAAAATGCAAGTCTGCTCTGCGCCAATATAGCTATGTAGTCTCACCTTGTTTTGAGGGACACATTTTACTTTGTATTGTAGACTCCAAAGGCTATCCTTCAGTTACATGTACACATCAACTCTATGGCATGGAGTGTGTTCACCCGGATTGAAAGAAAAAGGGAATAGGGCACAGGATAATTACCCACAAAATAAACAAAATAAGAAATAAATACACGATAATAAATGAAGTTCGCAGTGAAATACATATGTTAAATCCCAGGTCAAAATAGATAATAACTAGAAGTATTAAAAACTACTTTAAAGGTAATGTATTGGCCGTTTTTATACATATATTGATTTTCTGTGACAAATAAACCCAGTGTAGTTTCGGTGTCTACTCTATACCCGCATATTAGTACAACACATAATCTACGTTCACATTTAAAAATGTCCTCATGTCTACCTTTTTTATCATCAGCCTGTGATGCAAACAACGAAATTTAGAGAAAGCAGATGCGTATATTATGAATATTTCCAGCGTTATGATTTCGGTTTAGAAATGTTTTGAAACTTATCGATCTTGCACGAAGACAGTCCAGTCTGGCCTGCAAAGTTTTCCAAAAAATAAATGTTATTTCCAGCCCACACGTACTCAAAACCAAAATTTATTTATTTCTTTATGATAAGTACCGTAGGCTGAGAAAAATGTTTGCCGGGGGGGAAGGGGGGGAGTATAGAGCTTACTCCCCTCACCAACCCCGCCCTTACATTTTCAGCCACGTCAGTTCTTAGCGGAGAAGAGGATGATGGGCCCAGTTCATTTCTTTACGCCTTACATATTTATAAACAAGTTCTTGATACATGGCATCGAGGACCGTGACCCCAGTCAGTCCTAGGCCAACTTCAAGTGAGTAAATTTCTCGTTGCCCCACCCCCCACCCCCCACCTCCCTTCTCCTACTCAGCGATTCAGTGTTTGCACTGATGTCATATTTGCCTGCAGCTTGACAGACGAGACACTTACTTGACATGGAACACCCCCTGACGTATTTTACTGATAAGGTTGGACCTAGAGGAGTGGTCAGGAACCCATTACAGAGAACGACTTCTCACTGTCCTTGTTCATCCCCTAGCTTCAGGTTAAACATACCATAACTCATAACATTGGTTTATAGTCATGTTATTCAATTGATGTTTTCATTCTTGCAAAATCAGTTGTTTGTGGACAGAAATTTAGCTATTTTACAGAAAGAGCTTATATTGTCATCATGGTGACGATGTGGTAAGTGTGCTTGTAAATGAAATTAGCTAGAGGATTACGTGGGCTTCATTGCGGCAGTTGCCCCTCTCCCAAAATATGGGCTTCATGAATATTTGAAGACAATGCAAAAAATGATGACTTAGACAAAGACGAATGACGGGGAAAAAACAATGAGCAGAATAAAACCGAGACCTCAGTCTAATGTAAAAGTAATGATAAATAAAATTTTATTCTAGTAAATAATCTATTTTTGAGATAGTCTGATACATGCATCAATGTTTTCTATTTACTTCGTCTCTGTGTAACAGCAGCACACGTCTTTAAAGAAGTCCTTAAAGCATTGTGTACCCATTGACTGATTTGCAGCTACCTACAGGACAGTCTACTTGTTGTATACCAGTAGTATTGCGGGGAGTTTGTCATTAATGAGNAAAAAAAAAAAAAAAAAAAAAAAAAAAAAAAAAAAAAAAAAGAAAATGCCTTCAGTGTAGTATAGATATACCGCCTCGTTTCAAATCCTGTCGAAAGAAACAGCAAAAGTTTTGGAGTGATATATCAATCATATTTGTTTCTTTTGTTTCTTTTGTGTTAACTTATTTTTGCGTAGTATTCTACTAGTTTTTTTCCCCCGAAAATTCATAATTAAAGCATGCTTACATTTTTACAGGGCTATCACAAAGTACACGTAGACAGAAAAACTTATAAAATAAAAGACATCAAGGGGTGTTTCGTCAAGTCTTATGTGTAGCCGAAATATCGAAAAGGTCTTCTTCTTCCTCTACATGTAGATTACCTGTATCTAGACAAGCACATGTACACCTGTATTTGAATAAGTACACATATTCTGTACATCAGCGAGTTTCCTAGACAGAGAAATTTAAGGAGTGGCAGCTGCAGACAGGTTTATAAAGTATATCTATGTATGGAATATGATATTTGTTAGTTTGATCATAGACAACGCAATAACTTGACTTTGTTAAAAAAATTAAGTAGATAAAAAATCCAAATGTTGTGAGAATAACGATTCAAGACTTTACTTGTTGCTTATATTAATCTTTATTTACAACAAACAGGCCTATTTTCCGCACTTAAACAGTAGGAGAAGACTAAAAAACACATTTGGACACAATCCAAAAATTTAATTGTCTAATGAAAAATGTAATTTTGACACAAGTCAAGGCGGTTTTAAGTTTGAGCGTAATTTACTTGCGTATCACGAATATAATTAAAAAGCGCGTAATCGGATGGTTATCAATTTATACAAATGTAAGATGTCTTAAAATTTCCCCGTGAACCACCACGACGAGTGACCAAGAAGATTTTAAACTTTGAAATCTTTTTACTTCTGAATATTTTGACTTTTATGCCTAGTTTTCGCTTTAAAAAAA